CTCCTGCCACACCCGCCTCCCTCAGCCTCGGGCTCCCTCCCTTGGCTGGCACCCGCACCTTCTCACACTCCCCCCTTCTCGGGCGTTGACCTCATGGCAGAGCACCACGGCCAGAAACTTGCGTGCCCGTTCTCTGGATTCATCACCTCTCTCTGCCCTGGGGATGCGCTGGCAGCATCATGTTCATGGCTGCAAACCCGGGGCCCAGCAGGCACTCAGGAAGTAGGAGCCAGAGGTCTGGATGGTGTCTCCGTCCACTGTGTGATGTTGGACAGGTCAGTGTCCCTCTCTGGGCCTCAGGGTTGCAGCTACAAATGAAAAGGACTAAGTGCCTCTCCAGGAGCCTTGTCAGTGGCTGTGACACCTCTCACCTGTGAAAGCGGATGGGCGGGCCTGGGCCCCAGGAGAGCACACGGGACCGGCCTCAGCCACCCAAGGGACAAGGGACAGATCACTGCCTCCGCTGACTTCCTGGTGCTTGTGCTTTTTTTTTTTTTAATGATTTATTTATTTGAAAAGCAGAATTATAGACAGAGAGGGAAAGGGAGAGACAGAGAGCAAGATCTTCCATTTGCTGGTTCACTCCCCAAATGGCCACAGTGGCCAGAGCTGGGCCAATATGAAGTCAGGATCCAGGAGCTTCATCCAGGTCCCCCACATGGGTGCAGGGGCCCACACACTTGGGCCATCTTCTGCTGCTTTCCCAGGTGCATTAGCAGGGAGCTGAATCGGAAGTGGAGCAGTCGGGACGGGAACCAGCGCCCATATGGGATGCCGGTACTACCACAGCGCCGGCCCCTCTGGGTGTTCACTGAGCACCCACAGCATGTCAGAGGCTCTGCAATGCCCAGGGAGGCATTCACGGCTCCTAACGGGATTAAAGCAACTTTGAGAGGAGACCTTTGACCTGGCCTATGCAGATGACTGTAAGCCCAGGCCGGCCCCTGTCCGGGAAACCCGGGCCCATGGCACAACCAGAACCAGGACAGCCTGCGTGGACTGGGCACTTTCTCTGGACCAGGCCTGTTCTCAGGGCTTCTCTCAATGACGACACCAAACCCTGCAGGAGAAATGCCACGAGGAGCCCAGCGAGGGAACTGGGGCACAGAGAAGTGAAGCGACCTGTCCAGGGTCACACAGCGAGTGGAGGGACAGCCAGGTGGGGTCGTGGTCTGGCCTGCAAACTCCCAGGTCAGAACACAGGGTGCAGGGCACTCCTCATGACGGAGGAGGAAGGTCAAGTCCAGGGCCAGAGCAGAGCTGAAGAGGGCCTGAGCTCCCCAGGGCTGCACAGCGCACAGGGTCTCAGGCCCAGCATGAATGCCCTCCTTGGCAGAGCCAGCTCCTCAGGGCCACCTCTGCCTCGGGCTGGGAAGGGCCAGGCCCCTGAGAGACCTTCGAGGGCGAGAGCAGCAGGCTGGACTAGAACCTGCAGGGAAGACCAGAAATGGGCACTTGGGGGTGTGGAGGACACGGGGGCAGGGCCCAGAGGTCTTTCTCTGCCAGCGAGGGACCGGGCTGGGGCTGTAGCCAGCGATGATGCACCTGCAGGTCACCCTCAGACACAGCGGTTCCTGGAGGTCTCGGAGGGTGACGTGGGTGTGCCAAACATGCCTGGCACTGGTCTCCACCCCAGGGTACAAGCCATAGGCTGCCGCCACCTGGCGACCTGCCCCACTGGGGAGGCGGGAAGCAGCCGGGTGCTGCCGCTCACCGTGGGGTCACCTCTCCCCTGTCCTGGGCCCTCGCTGGGTCAGCAAAGGAAGGGGTCTGTCTCCCTTCTCCCCATCCCTGCCACACCCAGTGGCTCTGGGGCCTGGAACTTTTGATGTTTACTTTGTTCTTTCCCGGGTTCAAAAGGAGCTCGCAGCCCCGGCCCCGCACGGAGCCCGGCCTTAATCTCCCATCGCTCCCGCTCCCAGCTGGCCGGTTAAGGCGGTTAAGACGCTGGATTAGGGCCGGCTTTACATAACAGCGCAGGAGCTAGAGCCAGCCTCTCCTGGGATGGCTAAAAGACTTCTTTTTATCTTCACGCCTCAGATGGCCTTTTTTCTCTCCTAAAGAGCTCTCCAGCCCGCCAAGAGGCAATGAACTTGGCCAACGGGAAGACAAAGAAGAGATTGAGGACTCAGCTTGTCTTCCCTTGGCCAGAAGCACAGAGGGACACCCTGGGCCCAGGTCCAGGGCAGGTGGATGGTCCCCAGGCCACACTCAGCCTGCTCGCCATGGCCACGTCCCCATCCTGGGTGGCCAGAGACCCACAGCCAGCCACTGGACCCAGGGTCCATTCGCAGGGGTCTCCAGGGCCCAGGGAACAGGTCCAGATATCCACCTGGCTCAAATCAGAGCGGCCCCGCTCTCTCTGCCTTATTTATTCTTTGCTTTCACTCTCAAATTGTTTCTTTTTTCTTTCTTTTTCAAAAAGACTTACTTATTCGAAACGCAGAGTGAGACAGAATATCTTCCATGAACCAGAGGAGTTCACTCCCTAAATGAACACAAAAGCTGGGCCTGGGTCAGGCCGAAGCCAGGAGCCAAGAGCTCCTTCTGGGTCTCCCACATGGGTGGCAGGGCCCCAGGGACTTGGGCCATCTTCTGCTGCCTTCCCAGCCTATGAGCAGGAAGCTGGATTAGAAGCAGAGCCGCTGGGATTCAAACCAGCACATAAGGGCTTAACCCACTGTACAACGACACCAGCTGGTTTCCAGTATCACAAGGAAATTACGATTATACTCTCATTACAGAAGTTAAGGCATGAAGTACAGATAATACTGCAACCTCCTCTGACTCCAAATGCAGTCCCTCCCCTGTCCAGAGGGGCCAGGTCACAGCCGCCCAGGCCCGTGTCCACAGAACAAAGCACATGGACCCCATATGAACACCATGAAGTGTCTGGTGCCTTCTGTTTGCGTGAACATCGTCACGCGGTGTCTACCCTTCTAGAATGATCTGCCATATGTACACGTTGCACTTCTCTGCCAGCTTTTGTTTGAAGAAAGGAGCTGCAAAGCTTGACCACCAACAATCAATCCAGCCCAACCAGTGGCACCCAAGCCCCACCGGACACCAGCAGTGACTGGTAAGATGGCCAGCTGCCCTTGAAGCCTGACACAGGGCTGGTGGGCTAGGGGCTTGGACCCTTTCCCTGACAGGAGCCAGGACCCTCAAGTGCCTCACGCATGCTTGCCACCCTCCCACCAAGACTCTTAAGTGCCACCTCAGGCAAGGTGCGTTCCTCCCTACAGGTGCCCACATCCTGAGTGCCCACTGAGTCTGGCTCCATGTCACCACCCCTCATGTTACAGGGAGGCAAGGGGGACCCAGAGACGGAGGACCTGCCCGGGATCACACAGCAAGTCACTGCCAGGGCTGGGAGAAGCCAGCTCCATGGCTCATTTCCTGTCTGTCTGCAGGCAAAGAGATCTCAGTTGAAACCAATTATGTGGTTTTAGGCTGAGCCTCACTGCACGGAAATGTCCCGTTTCTGGCTTTAAGAAGAGACCCAGTAAATGGCGGACAGGTTGATGACCCGTGATAAACACTAATGGGTCGCTGCTGAGCAGATGGGTGAAGGATGGAGGGGAGGGCGCCCCATGGTGCACAGGTGAAGCTGGCTGGCAGATGGGGCGGTAACAGAACAGGCAAATGAATGAACAGGCAATGGTGGAGGGCTCGGTATAACAGCAGATGAGTGGATGAGTAAGAATGCTGGATGGGTGATGGACAGGTGCAGATGAGCAACACGTGGACGGGTGGGTGGAGAGTGAGTGGGTGATGGATGGAGCAGAGGTTAGGGATGGGTAGACAAGAGAACAGGCCTGACAGTAAGTTCCCATTCAAACAGGCAAGGGAGGAGAAACCTGGAATGAGTGGTGAGGCCCATGTCCTGGGTGCCTGGGTCACCCTGCTCCCCATGCCTGTACCCTGCAGACCTCTAGGTACCAAATCCCAGCATCTCTCCATGCAGCCAAGGATACCAGCTGCGGCTTGGGGAGCCCAAGCCCCCGTGTGCAGGCACCAGGTCCACAGGCACAAGGGAAACACGTGCACAGAGCCTTCTGTCTGTACGACTCCACGCCCTTGGTTTGGGGCTGCTCCATTTGGAGCCAAGTTTGAGAGCTAGCTGGATCCTCAGGCCGCCTCCGACTTCCAGGCACCAGCGAGAATCTCTGCAAACAGTGCTGCTCCAAGTGCACCTGGGAGGTTACTGAAAGGCGCAGTGGAGTCGGCCGGCCTGGGCTGGAGCCACAGAGCCCACAGCTAGGACAGCTCCCAGGCCAGCTGCAGCCATGGCCCTGAGGTCTGGCCCAGGCGGCCCCTGACACCCTCCAGGCCCTCAGGATGCCCTGGGGTCTGGAGCCTGCCCAGACAACCCCCAGGGACCTCTGCACCCCAGCCTGCCAGCCAGCTGCTGCCCTGGCTTTGGCAAAGGGGCTCTGACTCTCCTGGGGCTGCCGCATCCGGCAAAGCCTCGCCCCCAATTCCAAGTGACAAACGGAAATGCCATCCTGTCTGGCAAACACACGCTGGCTTCGCGACACCATTCCCTCCTCGCTCTCTCCTGATTCTTGCTGCAAATTGGCGCCCGTCCTTGAAGGAAGGAAGGGGTGAGCTCTGAAGAGAGAGGTGAGGGGCTGAGGGTGTGTGAGCGAGTATGTGCACACCCCACGGGCACGACACGAGTGACTACACAGGGAACCAGGACAGCTGCATTTGCAACACCTACTCTCTGCCCACCACTGTTTGGGGGGCTTCCCACAGCCCTGAGAAGCTGCTTTCATCACCCCCAGGGCAGGAGGCTGAGGTCCAACACCTGCCCCAGGTCCCACAAGTCACACAGTGCAGGGCCAGTGTGCAGGCCCGCATGGGCCATGCGCCCCGGGCTCCTCACTCCCAGCCCACTGTGAACCACAGAGTCTCTGGTGTTGGCCGGGCACATGGTGGCCTGGATACCCGTTCACCCCTCAATGCCGCAGGGGAGAGCAACGGACGCCAAGTACCTTCCAGCCGGAAGTCCTCCTCTTCCTCCTCGCTGAGGGGCTCTCTGAAAACCTTCGCCCAGGAGTCCTGAGAGAAGACAAAAGCAGGGCCAGTGAGAAAGTTTTTGGGGGGGGGGGGGGCCCAGCCAGGGCCGGGCCGCAGCAGGCGGGGTGGGGACGACCCTGTCCTGAGGCTTCTGCTAGGAATTAGGTCAGCGGGGTGGATCCTGTGGCACCCGAGAAATCAACCCCCGTGACACTTCTGGGGGCCACGCTTCTCCCCCAGGAAGTCGGCCCCGCCCCACAGGTGCATAGACGAGACCAGAAGACTGGCCTCGCGGAGCCGGCCAAACCAGCTTGATGGACACAGGAGCAACAGACCTCCCCTGCCAACCCCAAGGAGAGACCTCAATCTGGGGCCTTCCTCCAGCACGGGGTCCCAGGAGGGCGGTCTCACGGGTTTGTGAGGAAACCCACGGGGTCGTCTGTGCTCTAGGGTGGGTGCCTTTCACCATACTCTTCCCACAGGTGCCGGCTCCCACTGGCTCTCCATCCTGCCTCCCAGCTCGCTGATGACACACACACACACACACACACACACACCCCTCTTCCAGGAGCTAGCCATCCTGCCTCCCAGCTCGCCGACAACACACACACACACACACACACAGCCCTTCCGGGAGCTGGCCAGATCCTCGCACACACTTTGCCTGCTGTCTTCCAGTGAGTTCGAGGTGTCCAGCGTCTCAGCCCACCTGGCAGGGCTGTCTTCCAGTGAGTTCGAGGTGTCCAGCGTCTCAGCCCACCTGGCAGGGCTCCTTCCAGCCCATGGAGCCGGGCAGCTACCCAGATGATGTTGGGTTTGTGAGGTGAGTTTGGTGGGTCCACAGGCTGGGAAGTTCCTGGGCTGCCAACAGAGCCCTGTCTAGCCCACCCAGGAGGACGGTGCTGGCCGCAGGGAAGGCCAGACCAGGGCTTATCAGCACTCTGCCAAGAAGAGTTCTCTGATCAAAGGAGGTTGCTTCAAACAGAGCTAGGCAAGGTCGCTGGCCGCAGGACTCATCAGAGCCTTTACTACGCTTATAAACACCGGGACTCTGAGCACTAGCATACAAGGCTACTCTAAAAAGCGCATGGAGAAATGCAATGGAAAGACAAGTTTGAACTGGCGCCAAACCAACTGAAATCCATGCATAATGTTTTCATCATACACATTTTCCGTGGGCCTTTTGAAGTACCTTTGTATACTATATTCTGCAAATCTATTTAAGCCACAGAGTTCTGTCTCTCAAACACGTCACACAGGACTCGTGTTCCAAGGAACCCACTTTGAGATGCACTCCTGTTTTGGGGGACAGACGAGGTTTGGGGACTTGCACTCCCTTCTCTGCTTGCACGGTGCTTCCCGACCCGCAAAATGATGAGCAGTCCAAAAGCTGAGCTGTCACCACCTCCCCTTTGTGAGAAGAACAAACACTCTCTCCTTGAGGGGGAGAAAAAAAAAAAAACCCTACCGCTCCGCGGCTTAAAGGCAAAACTAGTCCTCGCCCTGATAAACCCAGGGAGGCTTCGCACAGCTGGTCTCCCGGGTGGACGCAGTGGGGGGCAAGCGCGCGGGGTTTGCGGTTTTGTTTTAGAGTCAACCGGCACCACTGTGTGCTTCAGGGCTGCTCTGCCTTTCCCGGACAACGCACTCTCACAGGTTGCTCAGAGGCAGCCATTCCGACTCCTGGCGCCCCATTTCCCTTCTAAAACCAGCATCAGGCGGCGTCTCTCTCCGCCTCTGCCGATTAGTATAATCACCCAACATTTCCCGGGCTTGTAAACTGGCTGTTTGCGTTAACAGAGCTGGAGTTGACAGGGGAGCTGGGAGCCGGTGACAGGAAAGGGACGTGCACAGGTGGCATCATCAGATGGCAGCGACATCCTGGCAGCCAATTAAAGCTCATCTCTCTTATGGGAGCGAGACAGATGCCACCTGGCAGGAGCAAGCGACAGTCTTCAAGGGACTACACAAGGGACTGCTGAGGTTTCTGTGCGGGGGGTGTGGCCCCGACCTCAGACAGCACCCTGATGGCACCACACATGGCCGCCTGCATCAGTGAGATGCTGGGACTTCACACCCTCTCATTGCCACACGTGGACATCACTTCGGACGAGGGCGTGCTGGGTGGGACCCCTCTGCCAATGCCCACATGTGCACAAGGCACCCACTCTGAGGACAGAAGCAGCGCCCCCTGGTGGGAGCAGCAGGCTGTCTGACACACTCAACAAAGCTGACTTCCAGCAAGTTCTGGGTCGGCCTCTTAGTGCTACACGGTCCCCCGCTCTGGGAACAGGATTACGGCAGAGTCACCTTGTCCACTGAGCCACACAGCCCAGGGTTCGTGACACGCAGGGTCTGAGCTCCTTAAGCTTTGAGTCCCTAGAGCAGAGGCCGGGGGGATACGGAGCTGGACACAGCGTCATGCGCTGGCTCCACTAGCTTCTGTTGCTCTTGGACCTCAGTCTCCTTCTCTGTAAAATGGGGCAGAGGAATAAACCACAATAATGTAACAGCAGACGCTTATTATGCATTTGCTGCGTCTTGCAGGGTGCGAGGCACTTTTCATATTCAATAAACCCCTTGCATTATCACAACAGCCCTGCTCTTTGTATCTCTCAAAGAACACAAGCTCTGGGGCCGGCACTGGGGCATAGTGGGTAAAGCCGCTGCCCGCAGTGCCAGCATCCCATATGGGCACCGGTTTGAGTCCCAGCTGCTCCTCTTTGATCCAGCCCTCTGCTCTGGCCTGGGAAAGCAGTGGAGCATTGCCCAAGTGCTTGGGCCCCTGCACCCATGTGGGAGATGCAGCAGAAGCTCCTGGCTCCTGGCTTCAGGTGGCCAACTGGGGAGTGAACCAGCAGACAGAAGATCTCTCTCCTTTCTTTCTATCTCTTTTTCTCTCTGCCTCTGCCTCTCTGTAACTCCACCTTTCAACTAAATAAATAAATCTTTAAAAAAATAAAACCTCACAAAAATGAGGTGCAAATTGTCACGTGATGGGGATCCTGGTCATCACTTTTTTTTTTTTGCAGAGTAGGATGACACCATGGGACAGGAAAAGGGTGCTAATGGCAGTACCACGGGCACACAGCAGGGAGGCCGGCAGATGGGGTCCCCACAGGCACTCTGGCCAGGCCTCCCCATCGCCCTATGTTTAAATGAGGAGATGGCACCAAGAGGCCAGTGAGAGGCAGGGTCAAGACTGGAGCCAGCTCCCAGGCTGCCCAGTCCGTGTTCAGGGAGAGCATGGTGACCGGGTCACCTGTTGTCTCCTCTGAGACTCTTGTGCCAATCATCCCCACTGCGAGCTGTCACTTCTGATCCAGCTCCCTGCTAATGTGCCTAGGACAGCCCCCATGATGGAAGCCTAGAGAGAGACCTCGGGACAGATATACACTCACACGCACACTCGCTGTCTCTCCCCACCTGATGTGCTGCTCCAGCTCAGGACGCTGCCAGCAAGAAGGTCATGGCCAGATGTGGGCCCAGGCCTTGCACCAGAACTGTAGGCCAAGACAAACCTCCTTTCTTTATAATGTACCCAGCCTGTGGCAAACCAACCAGGACACAGTGGAGTCAGGCCTCCTGGGAGCAGGGACCACACTTAGAGAAGTGCGAGAAAACCAGCTCGGGTACCAGGGCCAGCGGCCACCTACTCCCGTCTGCCCCGCAGACAACACCTACCCAGGGCTTGGGGACTCTGTCCCGCCCTCACGCCAGGCACTGGCTGGAGCCTTGCATTGCAAGGTGCAGGAGCCAGGTCCTAGTCACATCCTGCAGGAAGGCAGGTGCTGGTGGAGCCCGCTGTGAGACCCACAGCAGCCAAGAACACCCACCACCAGGCGCCTCAGAGCGGAGGGCAGTGGACTGCGGTCCATCAGACCTCGGTTCAGATCCCAGCTCTGCCTCGCACAAGCTGCTCAGCGACTCCCCATGAATGAGTCGAGGGGGGCGGGGCCCAAGAGCACGAGGAAGCCACTGTGTATAAAGCCCGAGGCGCTGTACCTGATCCCATGAGCATCACTCCTGCACCAAGGACACTGCCGGGAGCCCTCACGGACACCTGGAAACATGACCTCGTCCCGCCTAGAGCTTTGCCCTTGATCCTCAGGGCGGTACCCTATGCCAAAGGGCTGTTCCTATTATTCCCACTTTAGAGATGAGAAAACCGAGGCCCAGAGACACCAAGGGACTTGCGCAAGGCCACACAGAGCCAGAGCCCACATCCTCCCTTCACGGCTGCGCTTCCTTCATTGCTTCTGTTTTCCACTGGGCCATCCAGCCCGGCCCCTCGAGTCTTGGGCCTCCCCGACTCTGGCCTCCGGCACAGTGGGCCTCAGCCTCTGCTCCACGTTCTGACCCAAAGATCCTTCTGGGTCCACAGAGCCCCCGCCCCACGCAACCTGGGGCCAGGCTGCCCCTTGGCTTGGTGGTCTCGGAGACCACACAGTCCAGCTGTGCCTCCCTCCTGCATCCCAGCACTGCCCCCTCTGCCCCACACTGGGCCCCAGGAAGAGAGGCCAGCTCCCCCGGGCACTGGGTGTGCGGCCAGGGCCAGCCCAGAACCCAGAATGCAGGCACAATGCCTTATAAGGCCTCCGGGGACTGGAAACCCACATCAAAGAGGGGCCTTGGGGAGCGGGCTGGGGTTGGGTTGGGGCTTTTCCTCTTTGTCTCTGTGACTTCAGCCTCCGGAACTTAATATCCCCACCGCCGCCCGCCGGCCCTGGCGGGTCGCTGTCAATCTCTCTGTTCTCTGAGAGCTAACAGATGTTGGTGCCACGGCCTCAAAGCAAACTCCTGGTGCCCACAGAACACGACCCAGCTCACAGATGCCAGAAATGTATACGGCTGGGGCATGCTGGGGGAGGACAAGCTGGGGCTGGGGACCAGGACCCGGCCACCCCCGAAACCCTGAGATCCATGCAGCCCGCCCTGGAGCTGCCCCCGGAAATTCTTGGCGAGTTCTCTTTTCCCAGCACTGTACGGATGCAGCTCAGCCACGCCTCCCGAGGCCTCACTCAAAGTGAGCTCCCGCCTTC